AAGGTGTTCCTGTGAGGGTACTACCCCAGTGACAAGCTTGTGTAGCTCTCAAGGTTAAATTTTTCTAAAAAAAATTCAGACAGTGTGTGGTTGTAAAAATCCCATGGTGAGTAGATGTTTGACTTTGGTGTCCTGGCCAAATTGACCTTTGGTTTCAGTGGAAGTATCCACACAAATGCTATAAAAAAGTAAGGAAGCTATTATCTCACTCCTTTCCTTTCCTCTGTTTCTTTTTTCATATCCCTCATCTGATATAGATGTGTTTAAGTCACTTGTGAGCAACATGTTAGTGGCCCTTCGACAGATGGCTGGCATTGAATTTGTTTGCTATGACGGACATGTCTAGTCGAACAGGAAACAAGTTGAGATAACGATCACATTATGCAGTCTCCAGTCTGCACTTTGGTAAAATATCATTTTGGTAATTCATCTGGAAGGCTATCAATGTATACCTGTACTAATGCACAATAAATAGTTCTGTGTTTATTGATGTTTCTGCTGGTGCCATTTTGGAGTCGAGAGTTTCTCAGACTGAGGGTTGTTCTCTAAGAAGGAACCGCTCTACTCTTGCACTCCATCTCATACCATGTCAGTCCACTTTCTCACCAATACCACCAACTCTGGGACAAACAATATCACAGCTGTGACAAGTAGTGCTGGATCGATTTCAGGGGCTCTGATCCTCTGCCTTTTTCTACCCGTTGGTGTCTCTGGAAACCTCTTGATCATTTGGAGCATCCTGGCTCGAACCCGCCAACGTTCCATCACAACCCTCCTGATCCTAAACCTCGCCTTTGCGGATGGATTCTTGATGCTTTTGATGCCTTTTTTCATTGTTTATTTGTTAAAACGCAACTGGATTTTTACCCTGCCACTGTGCAAGATTCTGCTGTACCTCTGCAGTGCCAACATGTACGCTTCAATATTTTTGATAACGCTAATGAGTTTGCACAGGATGGTGGCTGTAGTGTGGTGGAAACATGCTGGTGTCCTGACAGACCGGAGGGCGATTATTCGGGTGTTGGTGGGACTGTGGATTTTTGCTCTCGGCATATCAGTACCTAACTCTGTTTTCTGGACCACTTTCAGGAGTGAGCTAGAACCAACATTTTTAATGTGTGATTGTAAACATCCACAGCCACGAGATGTAAGTTATGTTTGCCAGATAAACATTTACAAATCAATAATATTTAGTAACAATTAAAAAGAATAATAACTCAATGTATGCATGCTACTAACTTAACTAGTATGTTTATACCACAGTAGCTCAGACGTTTACTGTTGCTTTTCCAATAACTAGCTATTTTTTAGTAGTGCTGCTGTATGTCAAAATGCTATATTGCTGTTTTAAGCATTTTTACAACTGAATTTCACATGTAGCCTCACAACTGAGCTTTCTGATGCAATGGTCCTATTTTAGCTTCTGTGTTTCAGAGTGGAAGTTGTCATAGAAGGGTATAGACACAAGGGTAAACTGTCTTTTGCTAGTCCAAAGACAAAAATCATTGTTAATGACAAAATGTTAATGTCTGCTCCAGCAATAGACACACATTGGCCTAATATAGTAGAAATCTGGTGGAAGCAAGGGCATTGTGGTTTATCTATCTATAATGCATTCCACTTCAATAAACTTGTGTGAAAAGGGTCCGTGATCAAACACAATCTATAAGAATGTCTCGCTCTTTCAGTTATTACTATGCAAATAATCCATTAGTAATCGGATTGATGGGTCAGTCGGACTAAAAAAGGCTTCATGCAAAAACACCTCAATCTGAATGAAATTTCAATTGGATTGAAAAGGTTGGTGTAGACCTAAAATCAACAGGAAAACATTTGAGCAACTTGTCAGTTGACAATACGAAATATTTACTAAATATTAACTGAAGGCTCATCTGGGATTTATATGTCAGCTTTCTTTTTATATATCAAGGCAAAAACTCACGGTAGCTCTCCAGTTCTGAACGTGTTGACTGGGCACTATGCACGTGCTGAAGTTTCATGTAATGCACATAAATATGTGAATTGGGCTGTATGCTTTAAGGTTCATAAAAATAGAACGTTCAGAAACTGAAATCAGATTGGATTCATTCTGATTGGCAAAAATGAGGGCATGTTAACATACCTACGGAGAAGTCTAAATCAATCATTTTATTAATCTGAAAATTATCTCAAAATTAACTTACATATGAGATGAAATGATGTTTATTAATTATTTGCAGGCTCTTCACTCTGTTTTAGGTGATACTGCAGCACTGTTTGGAAATTGTGCTGGGTTTCTTGATGCCGTATGGGCTGATCATTAGCAGTTACATGTGTATCCTGCGCAGAATTCGCAAGACACGATTTCGTAGGCACATCCGAAGTGAGAAACTCATCCTGGTGATCGTCATCACCTTCGGCTTGACCTGGCTTCCTTTCCACATCATGAATATGGTGGAGGTGTGTGTGCAACTCAAATGAAACAGAAGATAGTGGGTGATCATGAAATTAATCTTTTCTGGTTGAAATATATCTTTTGGTTCTGGTTTTTTATTTTTATTTTTTTATTTTACAAATTATAAATGTGTCTTTATGGGTATTCACCATAGATCCCTTAAAATGGGATTATCATGTCTAAGAGTGTTGATTATGACTTTCCTGCACAGATTGCTGGGACTTTTCTCCCAGAAGATTCCCATGCAAAAGCCAGGTGAACTTTGCTCAACACACACTGAGATAAATAATATTCTGAGTTCTTTCATTGTGTGAATGAAGTAAATAATTTAGTATCTACAAAAGTTAAGCGACTAATTTATCCTCTTCCTCACAGACTAGATGAAATCTGGTTATCATTCCGAGGCTTCAGCTCCATTATCACCTTCATCAGCAGCTGCATAAACCCTGTTCTCTACACTTTTGCTGGAAAGTCATATATTAAACGTGAAGGACTGGCCTTCATGGCGCGGCTCTTTGAGGGCTCAAGGATCGAGTCCATGAGAAAGAATCGGCAGAATCAGAAAAATCTGGATCAAGAGAAGAAAGAAGAGGTTGATCATCTAAAAGACAGAATCTGATTTCACTACTTGCTTTTATGCAGATTTGAACATTCGAGAAATGGGAAGGGACATGTTGGGCTTGTTTTTGGGTCTTGGCATTTTTCTTTATACATTTGTATAGGTTAGACTGAATGATGCTGTTACTGGCAAACAAAAGGACATTTACAGAACCACTTTCTTTAAGATAAATTTCATTTTGTTTGATAATTTGTTGTATAATGCAAAGAAATGTTTAAGTTTGGCTCAAGTGTCCAAATATTTTTTGGGGGTCACTGTAAATCTCAAAGAGTTGGTTTAGGTTTTGTCCAGTAGAGGGCGCCACACAACAGAGCCTATACAAACGGTGAGCGTGATTTCACCAAGTACAACATGTTCCTGGATCAACATCCTTGTTGATCCTGGAACAACATTCCAATTAACCAATCAGAATCGAGGGATAACTTTTCAGGAAATAGCTATTTTAGGCTTACGATCAAGGTTAGGTGCTTCTACACCCTTGTTAATCAGCAATCATTTCCCACTGATTTTAGGAATAAATTATGGGATGGTTAGGTTTAGGGGTAGGGATTGGGTTTAGTCTATATTTTTGGACAGTAATGTTGATCCAGGATCAACAAAAGATGTTGATCCTGGAACACGTCTTACTTGGCAAAATCACAGTGACCTATACAAACAAGTCAGAAAGAGGCTATTAGAGCAGTAGAAATGGTTGTAATAGTTATGACAGAAATGTCAAAATTCATTAGTTTTGTTTATTGTTCTAGTTTTGAGCACAAACCTTACTATATTTTGTTGTTTATGCTGGGAACTATTTGCTAATGACTTCAAATAGTATACATTCTGAAAACAGGACTTAATATATTTGCTTCTTTGTTAAATTGATCTTGTTTTAGGGATGTTTAGACACTTTTGCAAACATGACAGGAGAAAAAAAAAGGTGCTCGTGGTGCAAACTGTATGTTTGACATACAAGTTGGCTAAGAGCACATCTGCGACTTTCCCTGAGGATTTTGTACGTAGAGGTGAATGTGATTTTGCCAAGTAGGACATGTACCTAGATCAACATCCTTGTTGGTCCTGGAACAACATCCCTATCAATCAATCAGATTTCAAGGTTGGGTTTAGGGTTAGGCATGAGTTAAGGACTTTTGATCAACTTATCCTTTTCCTCTGATTTTAGGGCTAGGTTCTCGTTTAAGTTGTTATGGTTGGTGTGGTATTCAGGTTAAGACTGTTTCTTTGACTGAAATGTTTGTTTGTTTTCCTAAAGGCTGATAACGAAGTTGTATTTTAAACCATTCCCTGTGAAACTTTGTCTAAGATTTTAGAATGGAAGTTCACGATTTGTTAATAAAATAAATGAAGGCACCTGAAGAGACTTCACATTTTATTCTACAATAAAAAGTGATGTGATGTTTGTGCACATTTTTATATGTTTTGTTTGTGCACAGACATAATTCAAATGATATGCTATCAGGAATTAATGGATAACATTTGATAAATAATGTGTGGTTATAATTTACATAAACATGAAACAATACATACAGAATACAAAATACATTTAATATTGGCAAACACTTGTGACCAAAGAACACGTGTGATACAGAATTAAGGCAGGAACATACTGTCAGGCTCATTTGGCCTTTAGCTACAACAGAAGCATGTTTTTTATCTTTCAGTCTCATTCTGTTACAAAATAAGAACAATGCAATTCATTCAGCAAGAATGTAACAGCATCAAAAGAAACGACCAAAGAAAGATGTAACAATTCAGCTAGTAGACGATAATCAGAAATGTTACAGAAAGTGAAAAGTAACTTTTGGACCTGTTTGTCATTTATATCACTGTTGCTGTTGAGAAGTTTCCTCTCTTATACACCTTTGCGTGGGTCCTGTCCCAATTCTGAATCTTTACCCTTGATTATACTATATACAATATCATCATTATTGAGTCTCCAATGCACATCACTGTCTTGAAGTTTATGATAATCTTTGGAAGAACACGGAAGGACAACAGAACTGCCAATAACAGCCTGCCTCTACTGTGACCTGCAGACACAGTGAAATCACACTTTAATTGTAAACACAGTCTGACATTTATACATGCAGCATTAATTTAAATCTCAAATGCAGTTTGTTTAGGTACTCACCTTTGTTTATCAGCACAAAAATTACACAGATGAAGCAGCAACTGCAGAAACAAGTGGTAAAATGCAGTAGATTATGATACTAGTAATGTCAACATGAGTTTGATTCACATGTAACATAAATGAGGTAAAATGTTCTCCCACCTTCTCAATATGTTTATTAATAAAGCGAAATGCTCTTAAAAAATTTTTTTTCAGGATCACACACTTTGTCACTGGATAACACTTGTCTATACATTTATTTTATGTTGGATATTAATGTTTCTATGCTTGAGATTTTATGTTTATTTGTTAATGGAGGGTTTGAGGCTTGCAGGTGGTAATCACAGGAATGGAGTCAAGAAAGAGGAAACAATTAGGTGAACAATGAGGACAGCAGACTTCTAGTGTTTTTGTGTGAGCTTGAAACAATTCTTGATGGAGGGATAATTGAAAACAGGTGTAAGTGATCAGCACATAGAGTATTGTGTGTTATGCTGGTGAAGGAGAACAGACGGAAACCGTGACAGTAGCCGAGGACCCAAGGTGACACTGCTGGTCTGAAGGGCCAAGGTGGAGCCAATGACTTGCAGAACCCAGCCGGAGCCTGGGGCTTGAAAGACAAAAGTCGAGCCGCAGCCAGCAAGGACAATAATGGAGTCAGAGGGAAGGCCGAGCCTGGTGGGGCTGAAGGGGCGGAGGGCTGAGACGCAGCCAGAGGCCTGGAAGCCAGGGTGATGCCTAAGGCATCAAGGCAGAGCTGGAGGGATGAGGGAGCCCAATGGAGCCTGAGGGATTAAGAATTATGGTGGACCTGAGGGTGTGAGGAGCCAAGGCTGAGCTGATGGGTCGACAGGATGACGTTGAGTCATGGGCATGAGGCCTGGGGTGGAGCTAGCGAATCTAAGCACCTAGGCCGAGCTGAGGACCGGTAAGTCCAAGGTGGATCCTGGGAGCTGGATGGACTGCAAGGAGGAGGGGAGCAGAAGGTGATTAGCCTAGGAACTCGACGGAACCAGCAAGGACAGAGGAGTCTGGAGGCTGGATGAAACCAGTGGGGTGAAGGAGCTTTAAATGCCCAAAATAAGGCAACTTAAGACAGCCTGCCTGGCTCAGATGACGAAAACTTGGAACAGTGTCTGTGGCCAAGAAAAGGAAGCTTAGGGACTGGATGGAACCAAGTGGGCGGCAGGCTCTGGCTACATCTTTGGCATGGGCTCTGGGTCTGTGGCAGGTGTGGGATTTGATATAGGAGGAGTAAGAAGGTCAGTGCTGGACGAAGATGGTTTTGGAATAGGAGCAGGTGTGGCAATGACTACTGAAGGTGACGATGGCTCTAAGAAGATTGAGCTGGCAGTATGCTCCTCCACCACACCCAAGGTGTATGATGATCCACATTCTCACAGGGTTTTATAAATACATTCCAACAGTGGCCGATGACCCTTATTCATAAGCAGCATCTGGCAGAGGATGTCAGAAGTATTTGAGAGATTTGACATTCAAGCGTGACTTGTGATACAGTTCCAAAAACTCCTCCACATACTCCTCCAACGAGCAGACATTTTGTAGCAGACAGTCCTTGGGAGTTGAAAGTGAAAACCCCACTGAGTTGATTGTTGAGGTCCGCTATTCTGTCACAGACACAGGGCAGAACAGAAGGTGAGCTCAAATGCTGGGTTTATTTGACAGGTAAGTGCAAAAGTGAAGATAAACAGGTGAATCAATGAAGTTCAAAGGAATGGTGGATGACAAATACAAATAAGGTGGTGATTGTGAGGGAGCCGTAGGTGACAACATGGAGGCAGTGTAGATCCAAATGCGGGAAGTTTATTAACACTCAGCAAAATAATCCAAAACACTAGGTAGTATCGCAGTCGTAAAGACAGGCGTGTATCAAACAATCGGGAAATCAGTCAAACAAGGCAGAAGCAGTAATCCAAAAGGCAGTGGCTCCCTCTGGTGGTCGGATGGATGGCCACCAGCCCCATTTGTTACAGTGATCACAGGAATGGAGTCAACACAGAGGGAACGAAGAGGAGAACAATGAGGTTAACCATTAATGAACACACAGGAGGATCCATTGGCAACCAGTGTTGGGGAAAGTTACTTTTAAAAGTAATGCATTATAATATTGCGTTACTCCCTAAAAAAGTAACTAATTACGTTATTTAGTTACTTTTTTATGGAAAGTAATGTGTTATAATATTTTGCGTTACTTTTTAAATATGAGCTTGGCTTGAATGTTTTTAATATAAGAAGTTCTATTTAAAGCAAATATAAAAGTCCTTTCACACCAAAAATTTATTGCTATTATAACAAACCTGCCAATATATATTAATGTGTGTGTGTATTATTATTATTATTATTAAGTAAATGTAACCATACACCATTTAACAACTAAATTAACACATATATCCAGTAATTACCCTTAATGATATATTGAATGTTGTATCATCATCCTGTACATGCTAAACTCATCTGTAAATACAACATTTAGCAGTAAATGTTCATAAGGGGAGCGTCTTCACTCATCTTATCCTACTGATAAAATATTAATAACTTAAACTCAATGTAAGACTAGACAAATCAAATTAATATCAAATAAAACTAACTGCATATGCTCTGATACACAACAGATGGTAATACAAAATGCTAATACTAACTGTTAATGACTCAATCAAAAAATAATAACTGCAGCTATTTGACTGTAGATAAACCTGTTAAGTGTGAATTATTGAAATATTAATAATGTGTTAATGATGATTAAATTATTTCTTTCTTAATTCTATTATAAATAAAGCATTTGACTACCAGACACAGATACAAACAACAAACTAGGCTACATCAGGCCTTCAGTTATACCGGAGAACACGTGTTCATTCAAAATTCATGAAACATACCTGATAATCATGGTGCCCAATAATATTTATATGTGTTATATATATTTCACATAAATATGTCAGAAATGAATATTAAATTCTACTTAAAAAACAAAGTATCGTCAACGCTTTCATGACATGCTGTCCTCGGATTGCTTCCGACGGAAGTGACTTCAACAGCAACCACGTGAATGCTCAGACATGTTTTACGCTTTATCAAAAGGTTGCTTCTTTTTACATTCTGAAGTCTGCATTGTTATACAAGGACTTTTGGACCCATACAAGTCAGGGAATGAGCACCACCTGCTGGCCGGACGAAAACTAGCTCCAAATGCAGGCTAGTTTTTCACAACGGCCTACCAGCCATCAGAATGTACTAGCACCTTAAAATAACAAAAATAACCAAAAGAAATGCATAATTTAAAAAGAAAAATGTATTTGTGTAAATGATGTCTTTTGAACAGGTAACTGTCTTCCACTATTGTTTTGACTCATTGAAATATAAATAATAATGTTATAAATAATGTTAAATAATATTAAAATGTAAACAAACAGATAAATAACATTACAAGAAATGTTTTCAAACAAGAAAAAGTTTATCTCCAGGTTGGTTTTAAACGCTTTTAAATCTCTGAAGTCCAGTGTGGGCCTAAGAGTTGTATTTATGGGCTCTGTCATTTTGCCTTTTTTGCTTAGAAACGTTTCTCTTAAGTTGCAAAACTTGTGTAATCTAACCAAATTAGTTACAAATGACTTTTTAAAGCATGTATTTTGTAATCTGTAGTGAAATACATTTTAAGAGTAACATTCCCAACCCTTCATTTTGGTTCATGTCTGTTTAACTGCAGCTGAAATGCTTAGTATTTTTCTCATTGCTCTTTCAGTACACCGAGGGAGACTTTTCTAGCCTCCTGTTTTACGCTTTATCAAAAGGTTGCTTCTTTTTACATTCTGAAGTCTGCATTGTTATACAAGGACTTTTGGACCCATACAAGTCAGGGAATGAGCACCACCTGCTGGCCGGACGAAAACTAGCTCCAAATGCAGGCTAGTTTTTCACAACGGCCTACCAGCCATCAGAATGTACTAGCACCTTAAAATAACAAAAATAACCAAAAGAAATGCATAATTTAAAAAGAAAAATGTATTTGTGTAAATAATGTCTTTTGAACAGGTAACTGTCTTCCACTATTGTTTTGACTCATTGAAATATAAATAATAATGTTATAAATAATGTTAAATAATATTAAAATGTAAACAAACATATAAATAACATTACAAGAAATGTTTTCAAACAAGAAAAAGTTTATCTCCAGGTTGATTTTAAACGCTTTTAAGTCTCTGAAGTCCAGTGTGGGCCTAAGAGCTGTATTTATGGGCTCTGTCATTTTGCCTTTTTTGCTTAGAAACGTTTCTCTTAAGTTGCAAAACTTGTGTAATCTAACCAAATTAGTTACAAATGACTTTTTAAAGCATGTATTTTGTAATCTGTAGTGAAATACATTTTAAGAGTAACATTCCCAACCCTTCATTTTGGTTCATGTCGGTTTAACTGCAGCTGAAATGCTTAGTATTTTTCTCATTGCTCTTTCAGTACACCGAGGGAGACTTTTCTAGCCTCTATCAAACCAAGAGAATGTCAATGTGCAATATGATCACCTGGTCACTTTATATATAATCTGAAGAACCTTCTTTCACCACAAAGAACCTTTTGTGAAACAGAAAGGTTCTTCAGATGTTAAAGGTTCTTTATGGAACCATTTAGACAAAAAGGTTCTTCTATGGCATCGTGAAGCACCTTTATTTTTAAGAGTGTATGTCTTTCCATATATATCGTTACAGTTAAAAAATATTGAATCTGAATATTGAAATATTGAATCTTGAAGTTTCATTAGTTTTTGCTGCTGAAAAAACAGAATGGATGGAAAAACATGTATATGATGCTGATCTGCAGTCGACACAAGTTATGTATCAGCTTCAAGACGCAAAACCTTTACAAGGTAAATATGTGAAACTATTTAAAATCGTTAATGAAATTCATTACTATAATTTTTTATAATTATTTAGCAATACTGAAGGTTTTACTTCTATAAGTACAACAAACTATGGTAGGTTTAACTGCAGCTGAAATGCTAATGGTTTTCCTCATTGCTCTTTCAGTACGCCGCGGCGGTGGACTTTACTATAACAAATAGTCATCAAGTCAACAGCATCTGTGCGTGAAAATATAACATGTTCTTAAATATGATGTGAATTTTCCTGAAGATTTATTCTGCAACATCAAGAGTATTTGGGAGAACTGGGGCTAGTTGTCACACT